TGTTTTTACTTGATGTAGAAATAGATGTTTTTTTTATACTATTTCGAAGTGTCAGATACAAATCAACAAGTTTTGGGGTTTGGAGAACAATGGTTAATCTGATAGGAATACATATATCTATCTAATGTAGTCACATGTTTGGGAACATTTTTGTTTTAAGGTCTAGCTGCAACCATCTATATAATCTTTCACCTCTTCAACAAGATAATTGTGGTTGCCAACTTTGCTTAACCATAAAAGTGGCACAAAACTCTCATATGAGTCATTTGTGGGACCATGATGAAGGAAGCACAGAAAAACACATTTTGTCATTTAGCTTTGAGGCATGAACTCCTCATTCGACCCCAACTTTTTCTGTCTAAAGAGGTGATTAAATGAAGTGCGATTCAGGGAAACAGCCGCCCTTTCGCTTGCCCAGATCATTAGATAACCTGATTTTGCTCAGGGGATATGTCACTTTGGCAGAACATGTATATTATTAGACCAAAAACCTTTTTTAAACAGAGCTCTATACCAGTCTAATAATCTAATTGCCTGCACATTACTTGCACACGGTATTAGCCTACACCTGACATAACAGAGACAGGGGGGCGTTGGTATTAGATGAGCCAATTCAATAAACACTTTCTTAGTCTTTGTAGTACAACGCTATTGAAACTCTAATAAAATGACTTGGCCGGCGGTATAGTAATTGCAGATAATTTAAGCTATGTAGTAATTGGAGATAATTTAAGGTATATTTATGTCTGTGTAGGATAAACTGTTCCATTCTGTCACCTAAATGTCCAAGCACACCAGGTCAAACAAGCCTTTAAACCCTTTCCTCTCAATATCCTGTTCATCCGGTCTTATATTTGTCGAGTGTTTTCTTTCTTTCCTTTCCTTTTGTTTTTTGTATCTATCTTCCAAGCTATTTGTATTCTGCCGTTACAATATGAGAGCGTATTAGTAGTGTGAACGTAGCTTTAGAAACAATTTGCTGTGGGAGTGTTTGGGTTTTCAAGAGCTGGTGGGCTTCCATCACCGTGTGTGTGTGTGTGTGTGTGTGTGTGTGGTGTGTGTGTGGTGTGTGTGTGTGTGTGTGTGTGTGTGTGTGTGTGTGTGTGTGTGTGTGTGTGTGTGTGTGTGTGTGTGTGTGTGTGTGTGTGTTGTGTGTGTGTGTGTGTGTGTGTGTGTGTGTGTGAATGAGTGACTATAGTTAGCAAGTGGGAGCCCTGTCTCCTTTGTGTCAACAGGCTTTCTGACTCGCTAAGGCTAATCACCGAAGTAATTACTGTTAAATTGGCTCATTAATCATTTGACCTGTCAGACTGCTTTACTGCCTTCTAGCTGGTGTGTGTGTGTCTGTTTACTATGCATCTTGTATAGGTGGGTAAAAGACTGGATAATTGGAGTTAATCCTTTTTAAACCTTTAGAAAAAAAAAAGAGTTATTAAAGTAAAGTAAAAGTAGCTAAATCCAGAGTTTTCCATTGCAAAGCTTTATATAATTATTCACCACCTTTTATTGATATATTGGTATCCTTTCAAGGGGCTTTCAAAACAAAATCTCCAAGGAAGAATGTGTGTCGCTTGAATGTTTAAGTTGAAAGATGGAAGCTTTAATGTGACTCTATATCCCCAACATGTATCCTACAGGGGGAATATAATGGAGAAATCATCTAAATGCCCTACAACTAAATGAGCCAAATCACTTCCAAATCAAAATAATTAGTGGCAGTGTTGCGGTTATGCATTCTATTGGTTAATTTAAAGTGCTTTCCATTTACCATACCATGTGTTTATTGTACAAGGCAGTGATGTAATCACAGGGATACACATTCTCCTGTTTCTCATTTAAAACCCAACATAAACAATCCTGCATAAAGTGGAAGAAAATTGTTTATTCATACTCTAAATGCAGTTGAAGCCTCTGTGCAGCTTTAACTCCAAACATGCTCTCATATTATTGAATCAGTGATGGTCACGATGGAAATTCAGAATCTGTGTTAGATATCCCTTTTTGTTTACCCCAGTCAGTTTCAATACTGAATTTGACAAAAACCTTGTATTTGAGATCATTTGAAAGGGGTAAAAAAGTTAATATATTCCCTTAGATCTTGTAGTACAGAACCTTTTTTGTACACAATACTTTTTTTGTGAAGAAAACGTATTTAACGGTGGCTTGAAGGCATTTTTTTATGTTTTTGAGCAGAAGAAGCACTATGGAATAAAGCACCTTCATTCACTGTTAGGTTTTATTAGAAAGTACACTTTATTTAACATGAAAGACAAACTAACTTAATATAGTGGGAAAAGAAAACCCAAGAATCTAAATAAATAAAAGTAGGAAAAAACTTGGTTGAAAGCAGCTGACATCGAAAAATGCTGAGGGGTTTGTTTCAGATCTTTTACAATACCATAGTAGCATTTCATTACTTTGATAAGGTTGCGTAAAGTGAATGATGTGTCAGAAATGAGCCAGGTTCTGAGTGCACTTCAATACCTTCCACTTAAGAAAAAACGGTCAAATATTCCAACAGCAACAAAGCTGTGTCTCATATTGGGTCAAAATGGCATGTTTGGAATCTAAATTGAATCAGGAGCTCGATGAGAACTGTAGCATTTAACCGGCTCCATATATGTCTATGTTTAATATAGTATTGAATAGCATTGGAATGACTTGAATAAGCTTTGACTATTCTACTTTACTTGTGCAAAACATTTAATGTAAACTGGCTGCTGTATACAAAAAGGGCTTGTGTGTGTGTGTTGAGGTCTGTGTGATATCATGTTTCATACAGAGGCCACTTTGTGCCAAAATTACATTTCCTCTGTTATGAAACACTCAACTATAAATGGAAATGTGCTTTGCTTTGAGAGACACCTGCATCAATGTATGTGAATTAATATCTCAATTAGGATGCTTAAAGAAGATACATTTACTTACACACATCTTTGTACTTGAGTACTTGTGAGGACCGTCACTGATGCAATGGCTTCACTTTCAGTATCTCAGTGTGTGTCTACTGCCTCCTGTTTGTATGTTTTAACTATAAGATTAGTTCCAAATGTGTACCGTCATACAGCCCTTTAGAGCAAGAATTACTTAAGGTCCTCACTTTAAAAAAAGCTTAGTCCTCACAAGTACGCACAAACAAACATACACACACACACACAGAAAGGCAAGTGGTCCCCTGTAAAATCAGCATACGGAAATGAGTCCTCAATTGAGACCCCACGGACCATTGGAGACCAATTTAACACACACGCACACTTACACAAAATACAGAAAACTGAAGGCCATTGATAACACTAATGAGTTGCCAGTTTGAGTAAAATGACTGGTGACTGCATACTGCATCAGTGTGTGTGTGTGTGTGTTTATGACCGGTGACTGCATACTGCATTAGTGTGTATGTGTGTTTGTGTGTGTGTGTGTGTGTGTGTGTGTGTGTGTGTGTGTGTGTGTGTGTGTGTGTGTGTGTCTTACTAAATACTTAAACATATGTGAATGTTTTCCATATGTAAAGGAATGCATGCGGCCTCACTTTGTGTGTGTGTGTGTGTGTGTGTGTGTGTGTGTGTGTGTGTGTGTGTGTGTGTGTGTGTGTGTGTGTGTGTGTGTGTGTGTGAAGTATGTTCCTTGGTGGATCTGTGTTCCCAGTGCTGAAAGGCAGCTCATGATGATATAGGTATGAAGAATGTGGGTCTTCATGTCAAAGATAGAGACACTGATACACAGATGGAACAGGGGGAACAGAGACGGATGTGGGTCTTTGGATTTCTTTTGTTCACTTCTTTCTTGAAAACCTTTGTGAGTGACAATTATGTTGTAGTATTTTTCATTCTTTATCCGTCCACCTCTGTAACCATCCATGTCTGTCTGACTTTAGGAGGATAAACAATAATTTGATGTACGTCTGTTGTGCAGGTTTACGTCATCTGTCAGATGATCCAGTGATGACTGTTTCAAATGTATGACCATTTACATTTGACACAATTCTGTGCAGAACTTCATCAGAAGAATCCCAACAAAAGAACAACAAATATATAAAGGAAATCAAACAAACTGCACTGTAACACCGTAGCATGTGACACAAACACGGTGTCATGTATACAAAGATTCAAACTTAGACTATACTTGGATTTACACTTTGAAGAATTTATACCATTTCTAGAAAGACCCACTTTGCTTGTTAATATGAATATGTTGAACCTGTCTAGATATCTTTTTTAAACCACCTGAGCAGGTAGGTTCCAGAGATGACAAACTGGCCTTAATAAACTTACATTATTACTTAAGCCTCCAAATTGTTGAATGTGAAAAGTTAAATTCTTTATTGAGATATCTCATGTATTAAAGGTAGGGTAGGTAAGAATGGAGAAACCAGCTCGAGTAAGCTAGAATTTGAAAGTACACAACCGAAAAAAATGTGCCCCTTCCTTCAGACTTCCTTACAGAGCCCCTCCTCCAACAGACACGAATGTGCACATGACCAATGAGGGCACGAGATAAGCTTGTGCACGAGATGGAAGGCTGACAGGCAGGTAGACCATCCAGTTATTTTAGCTGGGACGAGGCAAATAATTGGACTTGCTTTTTACAGCGCCACGGCTTCCACAGATGAAATATATATATATATTTATTGTCAAATCATTTAATGTATTCATTGCTATCAGGATGTTAAGAGCATTCCATGGAATATAACAAAAAGTGTTTCTGAAGTGAATTACCTACCCTACCTTTAAGGAAGTCTCATCATAGCGTGACTGCCACCATGTGGTCAAAACGCAGAAAACATAATTTAGAATCTGGAGTTGCAGTAGTTGGTCTATCTTACTTTATTTATGACATCTAATCCTGGAATAAATTAAACACAGAAATGCATCACATCCTAACATTGTCATGACTGTCATGACTTAAAATATGACTCATTATATTTGTTAATCATTAATAAAATAATGTTATACTGTTTTCATGATCCCCCTCCCAGCATAGTACGGAACAGATCAGAAATGTTTAAGTAACTGCATATTTTTATTGTGTTAATCAAAAACAATCTGACATGACATTTCACAAAGACCTCTGGGAGTATTACAGTGCACCACGTTAACTTTGGTCTTCGACCTTCGACCTTTGAACTCTCACCTACAGACCGCTCTACACACACACTGTTCCTTTGCCATTATATACAGTACAGAGCTCTGCTTTCCCCAAAAACTCTTTCACACACACACACACACACATACAAACACAAGCCTCTCCTTGTGAGCTATCGTACAGGGGTGCGTCACATGGCATGGGATACAACAGGAGTGTTGATTGGAGGGCTGTGTGAACAACAAAGACTAACTGGACACTGGATGAGGTTTTTTAACAATTGGCTGCAATGTCCAAAACAATTGTTGAGGATGAGTCATTTTCAGCAGAACATGAACAATACAGATGAAAATCGACATTTATAACAAAAAATAAAAGAATCCACCACAACATATCAGCTTATCTTTGCACATAAATACATAGGAATAATATTAATATTCAACTTTGTGCTTTCTTTCTCTCGCTCTTTCTCGCCGCACCATTGTCAAACGCGTTAGCCACTAACATTGGTCATGCAATTTCAAAAGAGCACAAAACAACAGCTGGCTTAAAAAGAGAGACTCAGGCAAATTTGACATCACTACCAATCATCTATTATTAAAGAAATAATACATCACTAATAATATCCATTTAGTTAATTAGTAGTCTAAATTAAATTAGTTCTGGGGTTTAAATGATGTCAGCATTTAAACAGTTTTTTTGCCAAAAAAGGATGTGGTGTCAAAATGCAGAGTGTCCCTTTTACAGTCAGTACTTTAGAGTCAGTCAGTTCAGTTCGGTTAAAAGAGTTAATTACATCTCTATAAAGAAGGTATATAAATAACAACGATAATGATTCCATACATCTAAAATCCACTCGCTGACTTAATTTGTGCTGCCTCCTGCTATCAGGGCCTGTGTGAATTAATGACCACACAAATAGTAAATAGTAAAACTTCAGTAAGCTGAAAATCTTTGAAACCTTGATATTTCTCTGAAATGTGTGGCAGCAACACAAATTAGACTATAAATTCATCATTAAAATCATACGATTTCATGAACGCAAAACCTAAATGCATGATGTGCATGACCAGTTACATGACCAGTGGCTTTCGTTCATGTGGATAGACTATGATATGATAAAGTATGGTACCACAGATAGGCTCCTCATCTGAGCCTGTACACACAATGGACACTAAGGGGAAGGCTACACACACCATGTCAGCACAGACAGCAACAAACATGTTTCTTTACAGATAATACACAGAGAAAGGGAGGACTAAAGACAGGAAGTAGGAAGACCTTATCGTACTAATTGTACATCAGGAAGATATGACATCATTAAGCAGCAAAAGTCAATGATATTAATGACTAACGTTGAAAGTGATTCCAACGGTGTATAGAGTCAGATGGAATTTGTTTTGTTTTTGCAAACAGTGAAATGCATTGTGGGTCGCGCAGAACAACAGCTTTCTGAGCACTTTTCGTGCTGGAGGAGGTGTCGGCATAACACTCATCTCATATTATTTGCATATATGTATTTATCACAAACAACATATGCAAGAACAGTGTAAAAGAGCAAGGAGTAGAAGTACCTTAGAATACAAAAAACAAAATCATAGTTTCACTCATAAATATCATGCTAATATATATACTGTACTGTAGCCCAGAAACATGGGTTGTCATACTAGAGTCCACTTCCCTCTATCTCCTCATCATATTAATGCTTTTCACCCAAAAACCACCATTTCTCCTTAATGTTAATGCACAAAACATTAAACACAGCCAAAAATAAAAACCAATAAATAGTGGATTTTAAAGGAAGGTATTTGGATTTTGTCAAAACTGTTTTATTTATGCACATCTGATGCTTATTACAATAATTTTGAAACTTGCTTAGACGTAATCCACGTATTATTTGGGCTTTAGTCACTTTTGAAATTGAACTTCTTTGAGCTCAAGCTTCATCTGCGTACTGTAAACTCATCTTTCTCTCACATCATGGAATGCCAGTAGTTTTTCCACCCCCAATTCTCTAGTGGTTTTTACAACACAAGCAGTGTAATCATATCTTGCCAGATTCGACGGCTCTCTAACCATAACTGCGTTGAATTGTGTGATTTATTTTTCTGCAACATGCCTCAATGTGCCTAAGGAAACCACAAAAAACCCAACTATATAATAAAAGCAGTTTTGCATCATGCTGATCTGTTCCACAGGCGGTCCCACAGAGCTGGTATCTGTATCTCTTCTGTTACTGCAATGTGTTATATGTACACAAAACCATGAACAAATTGAGGTTACTGTAAATATGTGCACCAACCCCACCTCAGGAGATTGATAAATGTGTGCTTATCATGTTCTAAAATGTTTCTATTAATCTGCATCATTGTGGAATTGAACATAAATAGTTAAACGTGTTTCCAGTTTGAGACCCTTACTAAGCAGAGTATTCCAGTTATTCCATTCCCGCATTTTACGCAGCACTCAAGTCCGCAATTTTTCTTCACTACTATGAAATATCCAGGTATGAAAAGCCATACGGAGAGGTCATCCAAACTTTGGGACGTTGATTTTGTTCAGAGTGGTATAGTCCAGAGAGTGGGTGTTCATACTGTGAGCCACATAGAGTATGTGTAGTAGGCCAACTTTAATTACCCAACAAAAAATGTGGTAATCCGGTGTTTCCATATACAGTCAGTGGCAAAGGGTAAGAAGGGTAAGTGTGTTTGTTGTCCACGGATAAAGGTAGGTTCACTCCCACATACCTGTTTGTACACTCAACTACGCTAATGGAACAGTGTAAAGGGATCGTGCAGAATCAATTTGGACAGCACATGCATCGGCTGGCCAGTGGTACCGTATAGTGGGGGAATCGATAGATAAATATACACAATGGAGGAGGTGCTGTGTGTGTGTCTGCATGTGTTTTTATGTGCATTGGTGTATTTGTATGCATGAACACCTCCAAGAGTTCTTTGTTTTCTCAGTCTCGTTCTATCATTCTTCTCAATTTTTTCTTGTATCAGTCATTCTTTTCTCCCTCCATCTATGTGTTGTTACAGCCCTGCGCTGCGAGGAGCCCGGGGGTTAGGTTTCCCGTCGTGGGTCCGGCGGTTTCTCCCCTTCCTAATCTCTTGAAGATGCTTCCACTTCTTGTTAGCTGGGCGGACAGCTGGGCCCAGAGGTGGGACTTCCTTCCCCGGAGTAGGAAAGGTTTTATCCGCTTGGTCAGCTCCGGCATTCTTTCGTGCCCACACTTGCTCACAAATCTGGTCGACGGTGCTCAGGTTAGGGTGGTCCACCAACTGCATGAAGTCCCGGTACCAAAGCTTTTGGTTGGTAACTGGGGGGCCACCTCCGCTGCGGGGTTCTAATCGGACAGGGGCATCGGAGGGTAGGTTGGAAACTGATGACGATGTTGAAGGTACCACTTCCAAGGTGATGCCTAGTAATGTTTGGGTGAAGCCGTGTTCCATGGCATGGCACTGGTAGAGGCCGACGTCTCTCTTAAGGACACGACGAACCAGAAGCCCTCTGTCTGTGTGGAGGACGCGGTCATCGAGACGCACCTAGAAAACATAAATGAATTGAAATGTCTGCACTGAATTATGTGGACTAATGCCCTTCAGTCTTATTGTTCAAGTTTGTTTTTGGCATAAATGTAACCTAGCAAAGTTGTATGTGGGCTACTAGCCCTAACGATGAAAAAAGAAAAAATCACACCAATAGCACATAGCAAAATAAGGGCTTTCTGGTTTGATATACACTATATATATACTACATTAACTTTGGCAATGTCCTTGTCAGTGTTATTGTTTGTAACCTCTTTCCTCTCCCCGCCATCCCTCTCACCTCTTCCCGTGGGTTCTGTGGATGTTTCTGGAAAGTCCATGTGACCTTGGCCTGAAGGGATTTGGGGATACACTCCAAGAAAGTGCTGCTTCCCTCAACTCCATACAGCTTCCTCTCTGCAATGCGATGCTTATGGTGGTCTGAAGGGGGCAGCAAAGACAAGGACATTATGGGGCGTACTGTTACTGACAATACAGATAAGGCAAGGCTTGAAAAGGCAACACATTAGGAAAGAAGAGGGCAGGATGACACGGGACAGGAAAAATAAATGTCAGGAGTACAAAAGGTCAAAAAATCCTTGACAAAACAAGGGCAGGGCAGACCAATAAATGATTGGATAAAACAAAAATACATAACCTGCATACTACTTAGCACAATTGACGTGTTAAAATAATAGTCACATATAACACTGAACAAAAGTCAATGTTGGCTGTTAATAGGACATTGTAATACAATCTCGCATAATGAGAGATTATCTAAAGGGGGTTGATTCAAACAAATGTTCACATGTTTGATGTTTGAGAACTCTTCTGGTCTTAACAACGACTCATAGTCTTGCATGTTGTCAATATGAGTGGTGAGTTTTAGCAATGGAAAAAGATCCAACCTCAAGACTGTGATTTGTTCAGAAAAATATCAGTTACTAACTATTCAAGCCACCAGCACCGCATACATAATTGGGGAAACCATAGTTTCTAAATTGCTAAACTGACCTCTGATCAGCGCTTTTGTGCAATGCCCCTCTCAGCAGAGACAATCACTCCAAATGTCATTAGTTTTTCACAACCCGGCTTGCATGCCATAGGATGTAATCGTATTACTCAGGAGCTGCTAAAGTTTGAGCGATTAGCTTTATTCAGTTTTGTGGCAGAAAGACAGATAGCAGCAGAATGCTGGTATTGTGGTCTGGGAAGACAGAGGTCACCAGGGGTGAAGGGGTGAAGGGTTTGGGCTTTTTTTGGCACAGGGACAGTGAGATGTCAGATGCCAAGAGTCTCTGTGAGTCAGAGCAGGATCAGAGTAAAGCTTAGATTGTTGTTTTCGAATAAACCTCATCAGCAGTAGGCCTTAAAAACGTTCATGTTTTGAACAACAAATCAAAGCAATTGTTTTGTAATCATACCTCCAGAGCACAGGGTGTTGGGGTCTCCGTTCCTTACATCCTGGCGACGGAAACGTCTGCAAAATGAGTATGTGTTGATTATACTAGCAGTCTTCTTCGTGTTATCCATGCTCAGTAAAATGAACTATCATCTGGTGAGTGCCATTAGTGCTCGTGTCACATACCTCTTGGTATTTGGCAGGTAGCGAGTACAGGATGTTCCATCCCAGGCGCAGTATGGGTCTCTTGCCAGGCAGCACTCAGCACAGGCCTTCCCATACACACTGCAGCGGTGCAGGGGGACCTGGGCAATGCCTGTGTCTGAGCCCAGATACAGCTGTTGCTAAAAGGACACAAAGTTGAGGGACAAAGATTAAAAGGGAGTTTTAAAAAGAATACAAAAAACTGAAGACATAATGTTAAAAACAAAACATTTATTTTTTGTATAAAACAACATACCCGTTTTGAAGATATCTGCATGTCGATGATAGAGGAGGCATCCTGAAGAGCAGAGAGATAGAGAAAATATATTACCATGCTACATAACAAATGAATTTGCATTATTAGAGATCCATTTAAGATGAAAGAATAGCACTGTATTGCCCCTCAATACAATTCACTTATTAATGCTTTGTAAACTACAATAAATGGGCTTTATCATAGTTTTCTTACTTTAAAGACCTCCAGCTCCTCCAGTAGAAGCTCCTCCATGTTGTTCCAGCTCTCCTTGGGGATATTGATCACCTTTAGTACTGTCCCTTTGTCTGAAATAAGAGATGCGATCCATCAAGTCACAAAACATATTATAGTTTAACTATTAACCCTCCTATTGTCTTCGTTTTCCCCCCCTTACTTTGGTGTTCGCGGTCAAATTTGACCGGTCCTGTTTTAACTGCTAACAACACAAAAACCATTTGTGTGTGTGTGTGTGTGTGTGTGTGTGTGTGTGTGTGTGTGTGTGTGTGTGTGTGTGTGTGTGTGTGTGTGTGTGTGTGGGTGTGTGTTTTATCTGATCCGGATGGTTACTAATTATTTTTCTTTATGGCGGTGTTACAAAGTTGACTAAATCATCCAAAATTCAATGAAAGTGGTGATCAGCATTTGTATATGTTCAAATGTCTACTGTGAAGGATATCATAAAGCCTTAATGCAATCGAATGTAAAACAAAAAAGTTATGATTGATGAAAGTAGTAAATCGGTCAGATTTGACCCGAAGACAACAGGAGGGTTAAGATAAGAGCCAGAATTGTATTTTACCTGTGCCAATAAACATCACATCATACTGTCCGTCCGCAGCGTTGACTTTGTCCACAGCAATCTGTGTGAAGCTGTAGTCCACGTTGGTTCTGACGAATACTGGACGTCGGCTCATAGGGTAGACCGGGTTATACATCAGAGGGTGGTGACGCGCAAACTGGATCACATCATCTGGGAAACCCTTCGTGGACTCAAAACTGCCAAATGTCTTGCTGGGACACTAATGGAGGGAAATAAAATTAATTAATATTCCAGCAAAAGGTCATATTTATACAAACTTGCAAATCAGATACATCACAAAATTATTAATTTGCAATAATATTTTTGGTTGTTGCGTAACTTTTTAGATTTGTTGTTTTTTCAAGGTCGCATTTTGGTTCCCTTGTGGGATGCAAAATGTTAAAAGAAACTTTCAAATATTCAACTTTAATACTGATTAAACCATCAAGAGTTAAACCATTTTATCAGTGGGAATGTACATAAAAGGATTTGGGTACTACCCAGCAATTCAAAGTACTTTAATAATTCAGCCAATCTACTTCTACTGTAAGGGATTTGTTTAAGCTCTGCACGACAGGCCTGCGAGTGCAAAACAGCTCCAGCCTTTTTGATGAGCAAGTTTATTTTGTGTATATAAACTGTGTCAGTCCAGCAGTGAGGTGATTTGATGTAATGGCTCACAGGAACGTGAGAGATTATCTCCAGGTCAGAGTCCAGCCTTCCTCTCGAATTAAAATTCCAGTCCAGTGTTTCTGTACAGATACTCAAATGTTACTTAAATAAGCTGTAACATCATGCAGTATTAATGCTTTTTATGTTGTGGACAGAAGATACACTTTCATCATATAGTGAAACACTTTTTATCTGGTTTCTGCATTTTAAACTCTGAATCAGCTTTTTTTAGGCAGCTTTGCATAGTTCACAAGTAAGCATGATCGGATTATTTTAATTGGATTCGTCCCGCTAATTTTACAACCCAGTGAGGTGATGATGGCGTGAGAGAGAGTTTACTGTGGGTCAAATACAATTACTATTCTGCAGTCATACAATGGGGATTGTTCTGCTTTGGCAGTAACAGCTGAAGCTATAACAAATCTTGCTGATGCCACGCTTGTGTGCTAAGCAGAACGTAAGAGCCCTGATAAGCACATATTGATTGGGAGGGCTGTGGAGTGCTTTGGATGAAATTAGGTCTAATGCTGCAAGTGTATGAAGTGCACAAAACTGAATATTAAAAACCTGGGAGCATAAGTATTCAAAGGTGCTACTTAAGAATTACATACAAGTATTTCAGCAATAAAAGTGACAACAAATGAAACTCTAGACCAGGGTGGGGAACCTCCGGCCTCCGGGCCGTATACGGACCGCGACACCATTTGGTACGGCCCTCGAGGTAATTTATAAACACACGCAAAAAAGAAAAAAATTAAAGAAATCTAGACCGCAAAAGAATTAAACAAGGGAGTTCCTGTTTTTCCTGGCCAAGGTCAGGGTCCTTGAACACAACACGAGCTTAACGTGTCATCACGTGGTATATGTCTCGTCTGACAGGGGTGTAGTGCTGACGGAGAGTACCGGAACACCGCTCCGGTGTAAGTACCATGGGTGTTTTTCAATCGCGAGTACGCTTGCTTGGTAGCACATGTCTGCCGGGCATCTTGCTTCAGAAGCGAGTCAAGAATACTTCCTGACATTTGGAAAACAAAGAGTAGAACAGGCTAGCAAGTGTGCAGGTGTGCGTCATATGAGAGGCCCCGCCTTGCATGTTCCGTCACAGATTTGGGGAAATTGGTCCGTGCGCAAAGCATTGTGGGGATTTTAAGACCGCGGAGTCTACTCATGTGCAGCCTCGATATTTCTCCAAACGGAGTACGCCGGGCTCGGTAGATTTCCAAGTATGCTGGAGATTGGAACAGTACTTTGGCGGCACTCGATGACGTAGTATGCTTGAAATAGTGGCTCTGGAGCAGCTTTACTCGCGATTGAGAAACACCCCATATGTGTTCGGCCTACCAGATGTGTTCGGGGTCCGTTACGCTTACCAATGACGTCACACATTGGCTGTACGGTAACCCAAGAGGACATTTTACACGGTCAAATTCCGAATGTATTGAAACTCCAGACTCAACGTAAGAGCTTGAGCCTCTTCGGGGGGTGCTAACATTTAAACATACACTTCATTCTTTACTTTGTCCGTTATTATATGTAGAAGATATTACTTTTTTCTCCGTCATGTTGTTTCCATAGCAACAACTTCAAAATAAATAAATCTAAATAGATGTGTGTTCTACACACCAAAATACGTTATTTGAACACCCCTCTCGATCGATTTACAAAAAAAAAATAACTGGCCCGCCCTAATACACCAACGCAGTTTTTAAAGATATACATTTTTCAACACAGAATCATTTACCAAATTACACCATATCCGTCAGAAAATGCTATCTGTTCATTGCAGTTATTGTTTATTGAATTAGATTACCATGAGCTCAACATAATTATGTAGAGTACAAGTCCACAGCCAAGAAAATGTTATTTGCATATCATTTTATTTATGAATATGGAATTATGGAATTTTAACACTGGAGTTTGTTATTATTTACTATAACTTTATTATAGTATTCGGGTACAGCCCTACTGTACCCGAATATCCAAATATCTGTTCGTTGGAGTACTATTTCGGGTTTCAATTTCGTTATTCGGATATTCGTTTTGTTTGTTTTTTCCCCGTTTTTTTTCAAATTGAATTTATTGAAATCTCCAATATCAACGTAAGAGCTTGTGCCTCTTCGGGGGGTGCTAACACTTAACCATAAACGTTATCGTTTACTTTCTCCGTCTTTATATGTAGATATTACTTTTCTCCGTTAATCTCTGTCACGTTGTTTCCAAAGCAACAACAACTTCCTGTCAACTGCGCTAACTCTCCTTCAAAAATAAAAGCATGTCCATAAATAGGAAGCCAAGCCAAATTACACTTAAGACGTATACAACTGCAACGAAAGTAACAAACACAATGCGATATCCTTTTCAATTTCAAAGAACACAAATTGGGTTACATTAACAAATAACTATAAAACAACAATACTGTAGAATAACTAAATGAATGCCGTGAATACACCGAAATACACGTGTTGAAGCAGTTCGCCGCTGATTACTACGCCCCCCCGCGCGGGCCGAATATTCGAATATTCGCTGCTGATTACTACCGAATATCCGGAGCCCGAAAAATGGCATTCGGGACAGCCCTAGATCATTCTGCTTCAGTTTGTTGGCTACAGCCAGTTTATGGTAGCAGCACGTTAACAGCTTCATCCTTTGATCAGACCCCAGGTATACCCTAGTCAGCGCCCCTAGTTACACCAATCAGCGTGCGATTACCGTACAGCCAATCACAATGCGTGACGTCATTGGTAAGCGACGGACCCCGAACACATATGGTAGGCCGAACACATATGGTACTGACACCGGCACTTCAGAAATTGCAGTACCCATAAGGAGCCGTACACATGCCGCAGTTTTTGCGTGGCTGTGTCTTTAGTTGAAAGCCCAGTGGAGATCTGTTCATCTGTCATACTGATCATACAGGCAATAACTTTGTTATTAGCATCTGGTTAGCTAGCTATGCTAACGAATATAAGAAGCTTTTTCTACAACCAGTGAGGTAAAGGCACATCTTTATATGATCATTATAGTTGTAAAAAAATAAGAGAATAAAGTAAACGGGTATAAAATACTATATGACAGTAAAAAAAAGTTGTTATTAATAAACAAGAATAAAGTTTAAAAGGGGAGTGATTTGTAAAATATCCATAAAGAAAAAGAAAATCTGCTTACAGTTCTGTTTCATATGGATGTTGAGAGATGTATCCATAGATCTCCTAATGTTGCTCTCAAAGTGCACCAGAATAAAAAACAATCTTCCCGGGGGAGCATGCCCCCCGGACCCCCCTAGAGGAGGTTAGGTCCCCCCCCACTTAAATCATGTTCACATGAATAGGAAACTAAATACATTTGCACACACCTTGTGTCCATGTCTTTCTGTTTTGGTGGTCATGCCACAACCGTGCACGTGAATGCATGCGCGAGTCATGGTAAGATATCTGGATTAAGAGGTTGCTTTTTCTTTGCACAGCATGAAAGAAAGGCCAAATGAATGGGCTGTGATTTTAGTATTTTTAAGCAGAGGTCAATAATTTGTACGGCCCTCGGAGGATGTTGAAAAAATTCAAATGGCCCTTGAGAGGAAAAAGGTTCCCCACCCCTGCTCTAGACACTACTTTGTACACAGCCCTATAGAGTTTTGGACATACCATTCCTGGGCGTGGGTAGGGGACTTTTCCCTGGAAGGGGACCCACTGGTAGTTGGGCCCCTCTTTGTGAGCGAAGGGCCCCAGGAAGGCCCTCCGGATGTCATTCATGGAGTAGACACACACGGCTGAGCCTTTGAATACACTGCTGCTGGGGGACAGGGGAAGCTGTTAGAAACATCAAAACACAAATGTAACACACTCTTGTCTTTCTCTCTCTTGCACTCGCTGACACACACATATCTACTTGCATAAACACACACACTATGAGTGGACTCTGACCTGGAAGTAGAGAAGACAGTGTAGACCAGAGGGTTCTTCCTGTCACGCGTCTGCAGCAGAAACACGTCGCCTGAGGACGGACACACACACGTACACACACACACACACACACACACACACACACACACACACACACGCACACACACACACACACACACACACACAGACACAAACTGAGGTCAGGTTGTGGTAGTCCAGAGGTCAAAGGTTGAGAGAAAGATAAGCAAAGCTTTATTGCCATGTCAACTTTAAAGAAATGTTTCTCTAATAACTCAAGCAGCTTCAAGCAGTGGTTCGTATACATTTTTTTATTTTTTTAAATAGTCTCATTTAAACATTTTCTTTTTGTAGAATCCACCCTTCCAACTGGTATCACGTGTTTCAAAAGTTATGTAGTCTAGGTATCTCAGTAGAATAATTCCAATGGTTTAGATACAAATAATTCTACAGGGAGGTCCTTTAAAAAGATTTAGCCTCAGGTATGGTCAGAAAACTCTTGGTCAAGAGATAAGGGGCTCATTGTTCATATGAGGGAATGTGACGGACTGACTTAGCCTCGGGTAGGGTTAGGTTTTAGATAAACTCTTTCTCTGAGATTGCCTTTCACTGCGTCACAAGATAAGCACACAGACATATCATATTATGGCCCACAGATATGGTCAGAAAGATCAATCAAAACCATCTTGATAGCTGAAACCGCTCTGTAAACCACATGATTGGAAGGTTTGGTGTTTTTCCTTTTGAGACATGCTATTTGGTTTAGAAAGAGTTACTAGCCAAATGGTTTCACAAAAATATGCACTCTATTTCAAGTTTACAGCATATCAGTAAACAATGATAATGATGAAAGATCTACATTTTTCGTAGTTTGAACAAAACAAATTGAAGCTTGATTTCACACAGCAGCAGATGTTATCAGGGGAAGCTAGTTTACAAGTTAAGCTACTGCAATGTTAACTCAATGCAGAGTTTTTAATATTTCCAGCTGGCTCAAGCCAAAGCCGCTAAAATAAACTGAAAAAAATAGTAGCCTGGCTTCAGGGAACATGCCTAATAGAAACATGATGTTAACTTTTGTCATACGAAGAATCACCAGAGACAAGCCTGTAACTGTCTCTGAACTCACAGCAACAACACTGGCTTCAGATCAAGCCAGGATATATTACCAATTAATCTTTTACTCATGCTTTTTCCAAGTCTGCAGGAATGTGGGTCTGAATGATAATCTACAATTTACGTCAGAAATCCTTGTTAATTTATTATGCTTTCCTAGACTTTCTCTTCCTTTGCACCCACAGAATGTGCTTCTGTGTAAAAATCGAACAAATCAAGTCAAGGATGGAAAATCATACTCTTTTTTGCCTTTTTCTAATTTCTGCAAAATGGGATTTCTTTATCACACTGATTTGATTGAATAGATTCAGAAATGGGGATATAAGGTAGCCCAGACGAGTCAAGCGATTTATAAGTTCACTGGACAAGGCAAAATTGTACTTTCTTCAAACTCAGGTTCCTACAGGGCTTTCACCTCGACACAATTGATGTGACCCAATGCTTTTTTGTAATCGTCATATTCATAAATGACTTTATATACAGTACAGAATCTGTCTGCATGCAAAGAAAACTTACGCAGCTCGTCAAAGTATGTGTCGCTGCCGTCTGCACCTGGCACCGAGCAGATCAGACGGGTCTTGAGGAATGTCGTCCACTTGTTCACCAGACTCCGCTGACCGCCCATGTCATTCTGATTTCAAGATAAAGTCCGTCAAGAGTTGTTAAACAGGGTATTATGTGTTAAAGTGTGAAGGAAGAGAGTATGAGCTGTATTAAATATTGGGCACAAACCACTTTCACAACCATCTTTAATTCCTAAACAGAAAATGACCTCATTTTTGTTATAGTATCTGTCAAATAACCAGGTTGAGTAGGCCTGATGCAGACTTGAATTATAATACTGAATTTAGGGGTCGAAACTTTCTCTTACCCTGCAGAGCTGTCCAATGCGGGAGTAAGTGGACTTTCCCAGACCCTGGGCCTCAACCGCCGTCTCACGGAAAAAGAAAAACACCTTGTCGTCATCAGGGTTTTCACTTTCTGGGACCCAAAAGGAACCAACAAACTTTGGTTCTGAGAGACAGAAACAATCAGGGAACAATGTCAGTTTCTGGAACAAAATAGAATAGAGCATTAGCTGACACACAAACACACACTGACCATTGAGCCAGCGGGAGTCGTGCTGTTCGGTGCGGATGGAGGGGCGTTTCCCCAGGCTTCTGAAAATGGTGAAGTCCCGTCCCATTAGGTCTGTAGCTACGCCTGCATATAGCTCATCACCTAAGAGACAGAACAAATCAATTAGTCCGTGATTGGTAATGTGACCTTAAATGATGACTGGATCTTTGTCATAAGCCAAAACCAGCTGAAAGTATGGCATGAAAATGTTTGAAAATTAGAACAACAATCAGTTAATCGCTCATTAGCATCATCAGCTAACATTAACATGAGTTATTTACCGACGAGTACAGATGCAGCGTTGTGGCGAGGATCATATGGACTCTTCCCTTTCCCGTCCTCCACCTTAGAGGGGTCAATCCTGAACACGTGGTCCTGACGGAGGGAGAGGACAAGCAGAAATGGATTTAAAAAGTGAAAAAACATACAATGCAATGGACTCAAAACTAATTTGCAACTAAGAACTTGACCTATAATGGAGTTGTCTGCATCCAAGGTTCAAGGTTCAAGGCTTTTATTGGTCATACGAACATAGCTACAGTCTAGTTGTGACGATGAAAATCTTAGGTCACAGGCTCCTCCAACAGTGCAACACAATAAAACAGATAAACAGAATGACCATACATTGTTAATTTGCTATATACTAAGCTTTCCAAGCATGAGCAACTGCTGCATTTTGTTAAACACATACATCTTGTGTGTGGAGGTATTTGCCTGCACTTTTTTCAGATTATGTTCTCACTTATAATTAACAGGTTGGCCAACCCTCTGAGACCCACGGGGCCGTATACGATCCCAAATGTCACGTTGTGTTCAAAGCGTCATAACTTCTCAGCTGTTTCAGCCAGAGACATGCCGTGTTTTTCCTCTTAAACTACAGAAACGGCAATAAACAACTCCATTAAGTTTTTCATTGAGAGGCGTTTACTTATTTCGGTGAAACTAATGTGCGTAAAGTTTTAAAAGATGCGGATAGTCTCACCTTGATTCTGACGCATTGCTTATCGTTTTCTGTTTTATAGATCTATTCTCATCCACCATCTTTGTTTGTGACGTCACGTTTCTGAATCGGACACTGTGGATGCAGTCACAGCCAATTGGAGTCTGATTCAGAGGGTTGCCCGTCAGTTCCGTTGTTATGTGTACTGAAACGAGAGCCGAGGCCTGTACGACGAAGCCGGTTCAACATAACCTGGATATGTTTGAGTTAGCCGGTTGGCCTAATCCAAAACATACGCGCTCTCGCCAAGCGGTCCTACGACGCGGGTTATCAAGTGGATCGCTCAAGCCAGCCGTGTCCTATCTAGTTAGGTGCGCGTTCACATGAAAGGGGTGGTATTTGGAGCATTCAACCAATCACAAACATGGACAAGCGTACTGACAGCGCAGCACGTCATACTTCCTGAATGAAAAGTCAACTATAATATTAGACAAATATGAAGACGTTAAACTTTAAACATCCATGACTTAAACACTTTATCCAGGATAAAAGCCACATAGCTGCACCTGCAAGGTGAATACAGCTGGTAAAAGAAAAAGTGTTTGAATGCGTACATTAACAGGTTTATGATATCACTGCCCCGTAAGACACGAGTGGATCTGACTTTAATTAGTGTTTCTTCAACTTAAAGGTAGGGTAGGTAAGTTTGAGAAACCGGCTCGAGATCGAAAGAATTTGAAAATACACAACCGGAGAAAATCAGCCACTTCCTTACAGAGCCCCTCCTCCAACACACACGAATGCGCACATGACCAATGAGGGCACGAGATAAGTTTGTGCACAGATGGAAGGCTGACAGGCAGGTAGGTCATCCAGTTATTTTAGCCGGCCCGGCAAAAATGATTGGTCGTACTTTTTACAGTATTACGGCTTCCACAGATGACATTTTTTTATGGATTTTTTGTCAAAGCACTTAAAGGTAGGGTATGGTAAGTTTGAGAAACCGGCTCGAGATACGCTTTTTGTTATATTCCATGGAATGCTCTTAACATCCCGATAGCAATGAATATCTTAAGTGCTTTGACAAAAAATCCATACATGATAATGGGACACATCGACGTCTGTACTCACAGTGCCGCGGACTGTACGTAATGTTAATATGATCCGGTTACTTGTGTTGTGGCAGATATTTAAGTAAGCTTTCTTAACGCTAATGTTATAATAGTCAGATTGCTCTGAAGATGGGAGGTGATATTCTATTAATTTTCACGTTCACACAGTCGGTGATTTTTGCCGGCCGTCTTTCCTGCAACGGCAGTTTAAACTATTTAATATTAGTAAATTTACTTTCTCCTGTAATATGACTTGATCGCTTTAAACTCCGCACACTGAGCTCTGATTGGTCAGCAGGCGGTGCTTTCACTGACTTGATTTCTTAGCCTGCAACCTAACCTGCTCCGGACCAGGTTAGCCGCTCAGCATAAGTTACCATGGAGATCTAGCCCGTTAAAAAGAGAACCAGTGTCGTAGGACCGGAAACCCCGAGTTTTCCCTGAAGTTAGCCCGCTAAGCGAAAATCCGGCTTCGTCGTACAGGCCTCCGGTATAATTCCACGCACGAAAACAAAATAAAAGTTGGAATACGTTCTTTTAGTGTTTTGAAAGTAAACTGAGGTATGGCAAGGAAGTTTACTACAGCTGAGGCTTTGGAGCTGATTTTTCAAGGGGACGATGTTGATGAAAATTCAGACGAATCTGCTCAGCATGCCATGTGTGATTGTGGACATGATATATCTCATGTGTACTCTTCAAAATTGGCAGGACAAAAAATGACAATTCCTCGCAAAAAAACGTTTCCCTGAGGGAAGATTACGCAAATGAGCCGCTGACGTCACTTCGTCTTCTTCTGCTTTGGGTTTACTGGCAGGCCGCAAACAACTTCACGGCGTATACTGCCACCTGAAGTCCCCGGCCGGAAGTCCCCGGAGTTGGGGACTGGCTTCAGTAGAAGCTGCTGGGACTCCCATCAGCTTCTACTGAAGCCTTCCGAGTAAATCGCCAGAACGCCGACACCTCCTCATCACTCCACCGCTCCCATGTTTTTTTTTGTGTTGCCATAAGTTATTCTCTCTCCGTTGGTGCGCGGGGCTAATGCTAATGCTAATAATGCTAATGCCAGCAAATACAATGGAGGCTTCAAAAGACTTTTCAGAGTTTTACGGGGCGTCGTTTGCAATTCGCCCAGCCAAAAGAAATTGGTACTTTTTTGGTACTTTTTTGGTACCACCTCTCTAGCAGGCACTGAAAATGGGGGTAAAAGTTCCCGGCACTAAGTACTCTTTTTGGTGTGATGGCGACATCAGGGGTACTAACGGAACTAAACGGGAAAAGTATGGGGTAAAAGTACTCCGGTGTGAACGCGACTAATGAGCACTTTCAGGCATTTGAACACTGTTTCTCTGTGTGTGCGCATGTATGGGTGTGTTGTAATACATGTTTGTTTAAGCAGGTGAGAACAAGCAAAGTAAGTAGTGATTCAAGTACTCTTTGCACCAAGTTTAGTAACTGATTAAAATACCAAGGAAATTGTTTTGCGCAAAATATTTGAACTGTCTGTGCACCGTCAAGTCTGTTAAATTATGTTGTACACAAGCTCTTCTGATACAGTTCAGTGTGAGTTATTTCATTTTTTATATATTACCTCCATCCTTTGTCCCACCTCCACGAAGGCACAGGTAGGGTGAAAGGCCCCGGTCCCACAGGCGTACAGGTGGGTGCGGTTAAAGTGGTGCACAATCTTCACATAGTTCACACAGTCGGACTGAAAGAAACACAGAACGACAGTTTCAGTTTAACTATGAAAAGCAATTTGAAGTGTTATAAATTGATATAATGTTTTGTAATGTTTTTCTTAAAAGCTTTCAAACAACAGAGGTACAATTCTGGTGAGGAAATGCTGTTATATTAATACACATTTTTGCGTTTGATGTCACTTCAGGTCACTAAACCCTTCAGAAATTACCAGAAAAATACCATGGATGTGACCTCAGTTGGTTGCAGCCTAGTTTCAAAGTGTAAAAACAATTTAGCATGACAACACAAGAAACAAAAAACCCTCAAAACACAAATCCAACGGACAAAACTTGGACTCTGTCTCTATTTTGTTTTGGTGATGTACATTCCTCACATAGCTCCTTTCACCCTGTCCGCCTGTGACAACACTGTTGAGTCCCCAGCTCACTTCCAACAGCCTGTTGTGACAGCCTTTGTGTCCTGGTTCTTCAGACACATGCCTTCAATGTTATTTTGTGTGTGCGTACTTAGGGTGAAAATTGTTATAAACCTTTATGTGAATGCATTAGTTAAGAAACCATTCGTTTTAATGCTGAACTAAGCTAGCTGTTAGCTGTAGCATTTCAGCCTGAACATTTAGCTTGCAGTTATTTGACTCTTGACAAAAGAGATAAATTGTTTTAAAATAACTATATTTTACAACTGTGTCATACTACTTACCTAGATTACAACATGCCTGCTTGAAATGTGTCTTTAGGAGCCATCTAACATCAACCAAAAGTATAAGAAATTACAAAAGTAAACTTGTGCTTTATTATTTTACTTTTAGCGGAAAAGGGACCCTAACTAACCCTAACCCATGTTTATTTCTTTACCTCCTTTTTTCTCCTTTCTTGCATCAAATTTCAGGACGCTTATCCCTTTTCTGTCTGATCCCTCCTCTTATTATCTAGACAGCAGGTTATTGACCGGCAGTCACATCTGTCCATCTGGGAGTCAGGTTACAGAAAGCTTGATCTCATGAGACAGCTGTAGAAATGATTTACTGTACACTATTAGCCGGGATAGAACACATTCCTTTTCTGTTCAGAGTACCGTCCTAACCACAGGCCTTGATGTGATTGGCCATTTTGTTCAACTACCCCTTATGGAGAACATGAATACCATGATTATTGGTGCTCCTCTGCCCTTGGGCACTGTAATATATGATGAGCTAATATTATGCTTTTGAATGTCTGGGTTGTCATTCCAGAAGTACTCAATATCCTAAAAAGAATACTCTACTAAATAAGATCCCACTCTGAATCCCTCCCTTTCCCCCTTTGTCTACTTTTCCCCAGACAGGCCGCTGTAACATCTGTCTGTCGATCAAGTTACAGACACTGTTGAACCCCCGGGGGCCTCTGGAGAAGAGGTTTTTAGAGTCAGGAATATGACTGTCAATGAACAATTGCCCTGTGCAGGTTTTTCACGATTGGATTTATTAATCTTAGGAGAAGAAGTTATTTGGTATTGGTATTAACCCTCCAAGATGGTAGCACTGTTAATATTTGCATTTTATATTGATGTGTTTTAAAAGATGCATGCTGTTTTTTGTCATTGCATTTCTTTGATTTGAGTGTTTAGGGCCGAGTGCACACCAAATGTCCTTCAAAATGAAGATTGAAAAATTAATGGATAACTGAAAGTCTATGGTATATATTTCCTTTGTTTCCATCCCCCTCTTATCTTTTTGACTTTCTTTCTTTCTTTCTTTAAGTTAATGTCTTGCTTTATCCCTCTGTTTGGTCTTTCGCCCTCATCCGAGGGTGACAGACAGACAGGACTGGTTGTGAAAACAGCGGCAAGCGGAATTGTGGCTCATTAGCCCTGACATACACACACAAGCACACCCACACACACACACACACACACACACACACACACAACCCTCAGTGATTTAGAACAAAGGCCTGCTTTTCAGCCTTTGAAAACCACTAGGAGGGTTAGAGTTTGAGTTGTCGGTGTGTAATACACAGATGCTTAGATGTGTGTGTGTGTGTGCATGTGTGTGCATGTGTGTGTGTGTGCACATGGGAAGGTGTTAAACCTATCTACAGGCCGATTAAGCTATTGACAAACACAGGAGACCTCTGTTGGCCATGAAAGAAAGGTAAACACCCACTACACTTTCTCAACCCTTGGGCTGTAACTTTAACACAATCAATGAACAGGTAGACCCTCACACAGCTCACTAACTTCCGTACAACCATGCTCCTCCAAAAAAGTCCTGCCAAGTTTCAACAGCCTTTCTCCAATCATTCCTAGTGTGTGTATCTGAAATGTATAGTTCAATTAGTCACCTTTAATTTGTCTGCTTGATAATTGAAGGTGACATTTCTGTTTATCTCCACTACAGGAATACTGCCTGATTTGTTTTAAGTTCTGTACAACCTTCAGAAAGGGTAGTCCCCAAAATCAATGTTCTGTTCTGGCGCCCCCACAACCCAGGAAAGACAAGAATGTATGTGTGGGTATGAGGGCAGAGGAAGGTGAAGGAGTCAGCTGAGTAGTTTGACGAAGTCAATTCTTTGATGTGACAAAAGAGAAGGAGAGCAAGAGGAAAATAAAAGTTAAGAAGAGCCAAGATGCTTCAAAGACCTAACAAAGATCAGAAAGGAAGGAGGAGAACAACGGAGGTGAATTATGCCAGCCTTCAGATTCCCTTAGTGTGTGTGTGTGTGTGTGTGTGTGTGTGTGTGTGTGTGTGTGTGTGTGTGTGTGTGTGTGTGTGTGTGTGTGTGTGTGTGTGTGTGTGTGTGTGTGTGTGTGTGTGTGTGTGTGTGTGTGTGTGGGTTGGTGTGAGTGTGAGTGGTAAAAGGTTCACCGGCTAACCTTTAACCTACCGCTGACTCATTAGTCGAAACAGTGAGCAAAACGCAGGCTATGACCTCACTGCGGCCTGAGCTTTAGGTCTTGCCTTCATGTCTTATAAAGCTGTATTGTTCCTCAGGGGATGTCTTTTTTCCCTTTTCTTTTTTTATCCTTTCTATTCTAGAAATGATTAACCCAATCGATCTATTTATAATTTCAGGCATTATCTATCCCTGGGCCACTTCCCTATATTCTTGTTCGTCTCAAGCATTTTGTTTTGAGTAATCACAGCTAAATCCATAGATAAAGATTAATTTGCTCTACTTCGTAATGACTTTTCATGATCCTATTTAAATGTTCAATTGTTATTAGTTAAATGATCAGGTGATTATGATTTATCACACACATTTTTAAGAATAACCCCCCCCCATTTTTCCCATTTATTTGGGGCTTACATTTTTTAACATATCCAAACATTTTAGGCAATCTTTTGTATCCTTATTAAAGTTTAGTTAGAAAACAAGCCACTGTTTATATCACTCTGCTTTGATTGTGTCTGGCAGCTGAGAGTCCCAGTGGTCAAGTAAACTTTTAATAAAGTTAATGGCTGAGAGCCTTTGACTGAACACACAGAGCAATGGCTCACAGTAGATGGTTATTAGATACACAATACGGCACAGTGTAATATCCCAGGAATGCCTTTGATAGCTCCAGCTGAACAGGACAATGAAGCTGCATTGACAATTTTCTGACATATTCATACCGTGAAAGAATAATTTATGGACTCTCCCTTCTCAAAAATATCAGTTAGGAATCCATCTATGATTTCCTTTTCTTTAATTTAATAGAAATGCTCAAATATTTCTGCAAATGTATTTTCAAATGTAAACATAGTGGCCACTCAGCTGTTTTAGGATTTTGAGTTTCAGGATTAAGTCCATTGCTCATGATCACTTCAGGTCCTATGAAATAATTAAATATAGGTTTTTTGGTGTGCCTCCCAAAACGTAAGTATTTAGCATACTAGTAGCTAGTGACATTTCTTATCCCTAAAGGAATATTTACTTCGCACCATGACCGGTGGAATTAAACCATTTTATGATCAATTGTGTTTTGTTGTAGTGAGGACAGTTTCCGTTGGTTAACCTCAACATTAACCTCTTTTCCTAACCAGTCGGTCAATCCATTTGAACAGCCGATCATCTTTTAACATGTAGTAACACGACACAAACACAATCCATCACTTCTGAAGATTTAAATATGGCTCCCGCTCTACACTCAAAGTGCTGAGTCAGACTGAGTGTCTGGATGAACTGTCAACTGTTTACTGCTACTGTCTGACTGTGTTTATGTACATGTGTCTGTGTTTGTGTTAGTGTGTCTGTGTGCATGTTAGGTGGCTTTGCTTTGGTCTATGGGTGTCTGTACAAAAATCATTTTGAGGTAGCTAACAGTGAACTTAATTAAGAGAAAGGTGAAAATGCAATAACCCTACTGTTCTGTATAGCAAAATGTAACTCATAAAAAAGAAAGATTTACACAAACAAGTACATAGAGACGGTGGGAGGACTGAGAGGGTCGTAAACAACATGAGAAACTTCTGGTTCCCAGAGAACCACTAATATGAGATAGGGAGAGAGCATGGGAAGAGAGCAGGAGTAGAAGAGAGCGGTAGGGAAGCCGGAGAGAAGAGATGCAGTGGGGGAGAGGGATGTTGGCTTCTTCCTACGGAGAAACACTTCTCTGTAATAAGGGTCAACGGTGTGAGGTCAGCTCAGTTCTCAGTGTGTGGGTGAGTGTTCAAAAAGATACCAAAAGTAACAAGGAAGAAAAGTCAGAGGGGCGTAAATGTTTAACAAAGGTTAAAAATAACATTTCCAAGGCCAGAAGGGCTGGAATAACAACTCATCAGGGGAAAGCTCCTTTCAATGCAACATTTGTCTTTAAAATTCAGGTTTTCTTTTGTTTCAATCAACATTTGTCTTTAAAATTCCCCCAGAATTCCCCCATTTTTCTTTTCTTATCTCTTTCTCCCTTGACGCCATCCCTTCTTCCTTTGGAGCAATTTTACTAACTCTCTCCATTACCCCTGCCTCTGTTACCCGTTACCCTCTGTTTGAAACACACACACACACACACACACACACACACACACACACACACACACACACACACACAAACACACACACACACACACACACACACACACACTCTAACAGACTCCTGGTCAGGTGAAACTGTAGCCTGGGGTTTTCAATGAATGGAGCCCGTTGTCTGTCTGCTACAGCTGTGTAATCACACTGATGAAGGGTTTGTTTTACACACACACACAAGAATTACACACACACATCGGATACTTAAACATACGCGGACAAACATATGCACATGGTTAAACTTACGAATACAGTATATAAAGGCATATGGGGAATGTCGCCATGTGCATATGTGAAGTTCACACACTCACACTCACACACCTAATCACACACACATATAAATGAGATCGCTAATTGTGAGTGATGTAATCCTGGGTGGTCTATAGGCTCCTGGTGGCCTTTACATGTCGGTAAAGCTGAGCCACACACATCATATTTAGACACATAATCAGCACATTCAATATTTACCTGACATATTCTTAGAAATTAAATGTTTCTCTTGTGTCAAAATAGAAAATCTTGATTTTCAAACCAAGCCGATAAAAAGAAGGAAGTAGCAGGGTGGCTTTGTTCAGGGAAATAGTCCTAAAAGCACTACAGGTCATTAGTTTAATCCTTTGAACATGTCTATTTTATATACAATTTATAAAGGACATATTTAACCTCAACTAGAATCGCACATCAAGAGTATCAGTGTGTTCCTGTGTTCCTTGGACTTTCCAGTTACCTAAGTTGTGCAGTTGAACTTCCAACTTAATGTGTTCAAGGCCTCTGATTCTAATTGTGGGAACAACACGGAAAAGGAGAGATGTGCTCAGAGTGTTTAGCTGTTTCTGAGTTGTTCAAACTTGAGTTATGAGATGTACAGAGTTGTATGTAGGGGCATAGGAGCCAGAAAGAATATTTTCTGTAATCCTGCAAACAGACAGACAAACCAAAAAACCAGAGACTAAAAAATAACCTCCTTGGTGGAAGTAATCATGCCTTCCTTGTTAAATAAAGGTTAAACATACACTGCATTCTTATGTAACCTAACACATGCAGCCTCCAAATTAACAGATTTCTCCCAAACATCCAACCTTATTTTGGAACCACAGCCTAATCACTTTGCTTTAAGTTTATTAGTGAGACAAGATACTCTGTTCAGCTGTAAAACTGACCTCTGGACACTACTTAGTTCCAATTCAGAATAAGTTGTAATGTTAACTAAATCATTCAAGGAAACACCTCTTCCTGTCCTTCCCTATATCCCTTTGTATTGCTGTCAAAGCAATACTCACCATCTGTTAAGTATTTGTAATGCACATGCTCTCTTGTTAAAACTCTGTAATGTGTTTACAACAGATCAGGTTCCTAAGGAATCTCGCTGTGCTAAATGGGTTTATCTAATTGTTTAACTACATTTGGTCACAGCCAAATCTTTGCCCCTTTCCACACTATTCCTGTGTCTTCCTTGCCTATTTGTGTGTGTGTTCCTGTTAGTGTGCATCTTGTTTTCGTTTTGCTAATCACCTTGACCCTGCCTACCATCATACTTGCCACCAACCAGCTGATCACCTCTCCTTCTTATCAACCCGACACTTCTCCACACTGGATTTTATTTCTCATCTGTGGTAGTTCCACTCAGGCCACTTGCTTATGAATTTGTGTGAATAGTTGTTCTTGTTGTCTGCTACAGGGTTCCTGTTTGACTGTTTTTCTCTGCCTATCTTGTTAATGTAACATTACAATAAACTTGATGAACTTATTTACCTCTGTGTCTCATTAATATTACATTTAAGGAATATATTTACTTCATAAAACCACAGAATGTACACTAAATCACTGAGTGGAAAGTGCAGTGGAAAAACACCTTAGCATTTGACTGACTAAGAATCGTACATATCTAAGATAGGGTTTGAGACAAACAGATATTGAGGAAATGATCTCACCAGGGCAGGTCCAAAAGTAGGAGTGTTGCTCCTATTATTACATGTTATTCATTTAAACATGGTGTTTCTGTCTTGTGATGACTCCCATGACTGCAGTGGATTAAAAGGTAGCATTGTGTTGTTCTGGGTAGGAGTGGACCGTCCTCCTCGAGGAGCTCCTCAGCCCTTCTATTTAACTCTTAGCGTTGTATGACGTCTGGGGGCCGATGAGTGATTATTAGAAAAGGATGTACAGTCCGCTTGTTTTGCTGATAGGTCGTGGATAATACAGTAAGTGTGGTCTGAATTCCATGAACCAATAAACAGCTTAGGTTTGATAAAAGGTGAAGGGTGTTAGAGACTTACCGTGATATCCTTGCCGGCCCAGTTACACTCCTCCCTCCAGTCGACCGGAGCGGGCCAGTAGATCTGAAACACAGCAGACAAAGGTCAGATGATCCTGTCTCTGAAATAAACATTCTAAATCTGTCTTAATTTAATAATTTTCAATCTGCTTGATTAACATTTTGAGAAATGATTTAAAACTTAAACTCGCTTCATCCCTCTCTACATCTGGTACTTTCCCATGTATTATATGGCAAAGATTGTTTCTTTCTATGGATAAAACTCAAAGATTAGAGCTCCAACCTTCTGTTATCTTTTCACCGTAATAGTAGATATAGTCTGATAACCCTGGCCAGTTTTATTTCCTTTCTTTTCCATCATCGCCTCCTCTCATCCTCCCTTCTCATTGTAAAGAAGGATGTCTTGAAAAACAGCTTTAAGTATTGTGAAATTGCACACACAGGTCATAAATCAAAGTCATCCATATAACCAAAAACTACAGCGGCTTCACATCTAACGCACCAACCATGTAATTTTCTCCAAACAGCTCTGAACAGATGTCCTGTATTTTGTTAGTATGTTTTTTGTGTGTATCTATGGATTGAAGTGCACTTGTTTTTGCCATTGAATACATTTTTGTGTAAATCTATTATCAGCTCCGGTGTATGTAATCAAGTTTCCGCAGGTGGGCCATGTCTGTGACTAATATTCTACTCCAAAGGTTTCAATCAAAGTACGTCATTTGGAAATTAATGACAACGTTATTTTGGATAAATGCTCTCTTTTCATCTCTCTCCATCTCTTTGATGTTCTACCTTTTTCTCTATTAATCCCACATTTCTGTTTCTACTCTTCTTACATGTGAACCCACACAGTAAATGGTCTCATATGTGCAAGATATGATTCAGTCGTTTTCAAAGGAGCATGTTAGTTCAAAGTTTCCACTGTTTCAAATGTTTCTCTTTCTTCATGCCTTTGGGTCCACATGAAAACAAAATCATAAAGTATCTGTGGCCCGAAAACATTTAGGAATTAGACAATATGGCAGTGGTTGTAAATGAAAAGGTATTTTAATTTCCATCCCGTGCCAGTATAATCTCCTCGATCTAGTTTGTCGTAAAAGTAATAAAGTAATTTTATGATAAGAGACCCATAAAGTCTCTAATCAGTGCAAAGTTCTGGTACTCTTCATTAATACAAAATATCGCCATGAAAACGTAAGTATGATTCCCTACGATGAAGAGTAATTACTGCTTTGTTGTGAAGATAAAATACACAATACAATCAAATAATGTTTAGAAAGTCGTTAGTAATCAACAGCCTTTCCAGACAGCCACATATTTTATGGTGACTGATTTTGTTTCTGACCAACCTTGTGTTCCTGCTTGGCGATGTTGTCCAGTGATAGCGACAGCAGGAAGTTCTTGGCCCCAACAAAGAGGCGGCCTCTCTCTTCGTCCAGCAGCAGAGCGCTGAAGCAGCAGGAACGCTCCAGCTCGAACCGGCGCACTCCATGAAACTGCTGCAACTCTGAAATCACAAAGAGGGTGGCAACTTTTAAATGTGCATTGTGTGTATACATACATGGATATACTGATGGCATCCCATAGCTTTACAACACAAAACTGCTTTCAGTTATTATGGTTAACGGTCCTCTGCAACTTCCATACCAACAGAAATATACCAGATGCATCCAATTAAAGCAGAGTCAAGAAAGATGAAGTAAGTCAGGTTTTGTCCAGTTTATACATCAGGATGATTGTCCTTGACCTAAGAAATACTTTGTGATCAAAGCTTCAATACAAGAACAACCTCAGGTCATCAGATTATTCAGATACGAACCAGTTAGTTGCCCCAAGGGTGCAACAAGTCATAAGGTTGATCAAGAACTGCTTAATTTTAGTATTTACATTTCTGTGTCCTAAGGCCATGTGACATGTTAACAGGCAGGACAAAGCCCTGACAGTAATGACACTGCATTGGGCTCAATGGAAAAATTGAGTGTCTTTTCTCTTTCCAACCTGGCAAGAAGTCATTCTAGGGAAACATTGCCCAGGAAAATTCTGCTTGTATTTGTTAACTTAAGCTATAGTTAACCCAAGCCAGTGGAAAAAGAGAAGTCTGAAGAAATAAAGGGACTGCTGCCCTGCACTTAAACCAGGAACTCACAAAAAGAGCAGGGCCCTCTCTACTCCGACTTTTAAATGGCTTTATTAGTCTGCCATTGTTCTAATGGCAATTTATAACTTTTATTAAGCCTCAGACGCCACCCAAAAGCCGCCTGCATGACATCAGGGGCTGTAGGTCTGCTATTATAAAAGTGCCATTTTCAGCAAATGTATTACTTTTCAGTTCCACCCTGATAACATATTGTGTGTTATTTGATTATAATAACCTTGGGGGCAAAGATACTGGTACTGAAAAGGACATTTCGTTTTTTATACATTTTAAAATAATTAATATTGCATTGGCATGTTAATTATCGGCATGATCAATTCCTTATGTTTACCAAGACAACTGACCAACTAACAACGTCATGCTAGGGTAGCCAGTTCTTCTTGGACTTGAATAACCACATAAAAGATTGTCTAATGAACGCAATATCATGCCTATTTAGATGATTGCAAGACATGACCTACAGTATTCATCAGACAGACATTAATTACTGTACTGGATAAATACATTAACTGCTGCTGTTTTTCTGCTGATTTCAGACATTCATGAGGTCATTGGGATCTCTTCTTGTCCTTCATGTGTCAGCTAAAACTAAAATATTCTGCTTTCTTTCGATCCAGCGTGCTTCTTGTTGCCTTCAGCCTAAATTAAAGGGAGCACATATCCCAGCTGGGCAGACGGCCTTCGACGAGCCTCACAGCCTCGGTGAGTTTGTTCAGCCTGTAATTGCCATCTTTCAATGATGGAACACATCCCTGGTTTATGTGGTTGTGTTGGGCATTGAGCTGCCTTCTTCTCATTTACAACACTCGGGATGAAACACAAAACCCTGCCACTAAGCTGCATTTGTGTGTGTGTTTGTGTGCGCATCTGTTTGTGTTTTGTTGTGAATCCGAGAGAACCACAAATTACAGCTGGCTGCTGTTCAGGACTGTTTACTTTGAAAAGGATATGATGGAATATCACATGAAACAGAGAAAGTGTGTCTGTGTGAGGGTGTGTGTAGACAGAATAAAGTACACATTATGTGCAGTGGAAGAGACAAAACTCCCCCACACACAAGCCAAATGTGCCTTATTACCTTTGTATGAGAGCTTCATGCGTGGTGAGGAGGAGGACGAAGAAGAGGAGGATGTAGAAGATGAAGAGGAAGTGCGTGTCATGGTAGGGGAGGAAGCGTGGGCGGCGGCGGCCAGACCCAGCAGGAACAAAGAGCTGCAGGTCACCATCATGGCCGCCATCATCATCATCATGGTCATCATCTTGGCACACTTAGAACAAACTGTTTCCTTTCAAAAGTGACAGTCTGGTAAGGGACTTTCAGCTGGATTATGGCCTAGTTTCCACTTAATGCTCAATATTTGTCTTATTATCTTTTGTTCGAGTCTGGTTCTGGTTCAGAGCAGAACGATATCCCTTGGACTTGTTCTGGCTTAGTCGTTGTTGGTGAGGATTCAGGATCTGCTAAGCTCTGTAAACCCAACACAGATTCTCCCTCTTGTTGTTTGCTTTTGCAGGAGCTCCTTTCAAGTTCTTGATATTCAGTGTAATCGTTATAAAACCCTCCTTGGTTCTGAAGAGTCTCTGAAGAAGCACTACTCCTCTGGTGAAGGACGACCAAGTTCACCTTTCACATCCAAGACTGGATAAAAACTTCACACATGGGAATAGAGACCTAAAAATAGGGACAGAAAAGGGAGAGGATTTAGAATTGGACACTACTAGCATATGTTTGCAAGTACCAGGGGAGGCCCTTGCACGCACGTACACGTACACATACACACACACACACACACACACACACACTCACACACACACACAAACACACAGCACTGGCGTCTGAAGTATATTTAGTCAGATTGATGCCACTGCCAGGCGGTGTTAATGCCAACCTACATTATGGCAACAACACTATAATCTCTTCACATTACAGAAATACTCGGGGACAGCTCCAAAACACACACACTGACCATGATGATGGTGTGTGTGTGTGTGTGTGTGATAGAGATATGCCATGCCGACTGCCAAGCCAAGCATAATCTCACCATGTCTGTGGCACTGCCAACTCAAAGTAGCATCCCTCTCTGTCTCTCTCTCTGCCTCCACAGGGGCAGACGGTGTCACCAGATGAGATCTTTTCATTGCTAATGAACCGACAGTGACGTGGATGGATGTATGAATGGATGTATGTGGATAGTATGTCAATTGTAATCCCTGTAATGCTACTGTATGATGTCCTTCTGTTGTTCTGTTTATGTTTTTAATGTTTCATGTGGAACCTACTTGAGCAGGTCTCCCTTGAAAAAGATATCAATGATCTCAATGGGATACAACCTGGATAAATAAAGGTGTGAAATGAAATGAAATGGATGTATGAGAGCATTGGTGCCCAACAGAAAGTCGCTTGTGAGCTAGTCCATTAAAAGCAAAAAAAGTTGCTTTTTGAATGAGACTTGGTGTAAATATTGAATTACACAATAATATAAAAATGACATTTCAAGTTATCCAAATCTTAAATTGTTTTGCTTTTTATAGTGTTTGCACACAGCTTCTGTGTATGGACAGGGTGTATAAAAAGGAACCTCTATAAAGTTAAAGAACTGGAGTTGAATTTAAAGTGACAGATCTGTTATTGTTTCGGAAAAATCCCCAATAACTTTGTGCCTGGGTTGTGAGCGTGTTGTTGTAAACCACAACTTTACCACAGCAGGGGCAGGAATGAGGTCACTGGTTTGAAAGCCTACATATATATGAATGTTGTGTAGTAAAAAGAGTGCATGCACGGCACAGACACACACTCACACACGCCTCTCTTTCAGTACTTTGGACTCTGTGGTCGGTCGTAACAATAAAGCCTTTCAGGAGAAACAGTCTCCTTTATTATATTACACCTCACAGTTGGCACTCAGTCAGTAACAGACAGACAGTCTGCTTTTTGCTTTCACAAACAATTACCTCTATCACTGTTATTCAAACTGGATGTGTGTCAAGGACTGTCTGCTGCAATTACAGTTAAATCATTTTTATTTGGCTTATAGTCTATATATATATAAGAAACTTCAAAATGTTTAAGGAAGACAATATGGAGAAAATTGGCACATCTGCTACCCCACGAACATATCCACATCGTGCAGTCATATATGGCGAGACCCATAAATTGCATTTGGACTTCTGGTGAAAGAACCAGCCAACACGCCACTGCTATTATTTCAACTCAGCTGGTAATGTTTACAGCCTCTAGGATACTTCCTACCAGCCAGCTCAAAGCAGATTTAGGATTTTCTAACTGTTTTACAAGTCTGAAGCAAAGATTAGAGCTAAGTTATTAGTTGAGTAAATATAATAAATGTTTTTAGTGTTCTGTTTTGTATTCTTTTAACTGGCTTTCTTTGGAGATTATCTTGGTTTTGATCAGTATGTGCCTTGATTTAGATTGTTACACTCATTCATCTATCGCTTTCAAGCACACATGTGAATACTGAAATATGCAAGATGACCATGTACACACAGAATCAACATACACACACACACACACAGACACACATACACACAAATGCACACAGAGACAGAGCCGTCGAGGCTGTTGGCACAGTGTTTTATGAATAATGGAGCTATTGAGGCGTGGAGACAGGAGAGCTCTCATAAGCTCACGGCTCCCAGGCCACAACACAACAGGACCGAGCTGAACAGGAACATAAACTCCCACATACCCTGCAGTATGTTAACACACACACCCCCACATACACATGTGAATGGACAAAAGCGGACATACAAGCTTCGAACAGCACAATACCTATCATCTGCAAGAACTCCCTAAATCAGAATTGCACTAAAAGGCGTTGTGAGGTCTGAATTGTCCTGGGTTACTTTTATAGTTCTAAACTGCTAAATAAGTTGGCTAATTTGTGATTATTAGTGTGAAATCCATTAACAAATGTGTGTGTGTGTGTGTGTGTGTGTGTGTGTGTGTGTGTGTGTGTGTGTGTGTGTGTGTGTGTGTGTGTGTGTGTGTGTGTGTGTGTGTGTGTGTGTGTGTGTGTGTGTGTGTGGGTCTGAAGCAGAATAAAACGCCTTAAGGTTGTTCATGTGTGTGTCCAACATTCTGTTCTGGGCTGCAAAGACACTGCAGTATTTCAAGGAGTAGGACGTCAGCGCACTTGTCAGCTGCAGTGGAAATGACACACACACACACACACACACACACACACACACACACACACACACACACACACACACACACACTGTCACAGTCCCTGGGAGTGACAGGGGGCAGAAGTGAATCTCCTGTCGGCTGCTATTAAAGGAATGGCCGGTCCCATTGTTCCTCTGAGTCTCCCCGAGCTGTGTGTGCGTCTCAGCGTGTGTTTCTATGTCTTCCGTCATGAGTTGAGGAGAGTTTTATTGTTCCTTATTGCACATCCTCGTCCCATCCCAGAGCCCTGAGCGAGCACACACGCACATTTATTGGCAAATGTGCTTATATACTCATCTAGTAACTCAGCACTTACCCCTGCAAACACACACACTCACAAATACACAAACTCCTTGCATGCTCCATAATGCATCTTAATAAAAAAAGCCATTGGGCCCGCTGACACTTGCATTCAGTGCAGCTTCAATAGACATGGAGGAGCGGCTTGCCAAGAGGGAGTGGATTAAAAATAAAGAGAAAGACAGAGAGAGATTCTTAAGAGGGGGGTGGAGGTGGGGGAGGCAAGCCATCCTGTCAAAAACCAGCCTAAATAGACACAAGAAGACAAAGCAGCGCGCCTCCAGGGTGAGACGTGCTTTTGAAAGGGAGGTTAGAGTGCAATCCTACAGTAGAGCACACTATAATGAATGAATGGATATCAGCAGTTTAACCTGTAGCCCTCATCTACCACAGGTTAGAGAGGAGGAGATGGGAGAGACACAGAGGCTCTGATAGAAAGGGACAAACAGAAAGGAGATGAGAAAACCATGATTGACTATAAAAGAGAGAGAAAGATAGAAATGATGCATGATTGGAGGGGGAGGAGGACATATGAAGGGCACTGGGGAGGAAAAGGAGGAAAGGTAAATTGAGATAGAGAGAGAAAAAGACAAGTAGGAGGATTAGGGTTCATGGGGGGAGGTGAGACAGTACAGAAGAGAAGAAGGGAAGGAAAAGGTGAGAAAAAGATGGAGAGAGAAAAGTGGGAAGAAGTTGGGAGACAAACTACAGTATGTATGGAGTAGTAAAGGGAGAGTGAAGGAAAGAGGAAAGGAGGAGAACAAGAGGTTGAGACAGTAAGGAGAAAGGAAAGCCCTGTCCCACGGAAAAAGAGAATACGGAAGAGGGAGGGAGGGAGGGATGGAGGAGAAAATAAGCGAGGCGAGAGTTGATGGAGAGAAAGGAGCCAATTGTTTCGCCTGCAGGGAGAAAAGAGTTTCCCTGGCCTGTGACCAACAAGTCTAAGCCTCCCTGCGACGGAGAAATTAAAGCAAGGAGGGATGGATGGAGGGAAGAAGAGGAAGAATGAGGTGGAGCGGGTGAGGAGGAGGGAGGGTTCGCAGCTTAACGGAGCAAAATGACTGAGACAGCAGGTTACTGGTGGCTTTTTGCACCAGCGAGTGTGATATGGGGGAGAGAGGCAGGGAGATTAAGCACAGTTTTGAGAAATGCAGGAATACAAAATCCAATTCACCTCAGGAAAAGTAATTGGCCCTGATGATCTGATACCTCTTTATCTTTTGCGTTATGTGTGAAACTATGAGACAAAGAAAAAACCTCAAAAGTACAACCCATGTGAAAAGGTGAAGACAGGTGACGTAGTATAAACAAAAACCGGACTTCACCCAGAAGAACGCTGTGCGTGTTCTATGAAAACTAAACTAGATGTCTTATTTTTACGGACGTAATCTAAGTTCTCATCACAGCATTCGTTTCGATGCCGAACTATGGGATGCGCCTCCGTGCGTAAACCTCGGAAGCATCAATCTAAATAGGCCAATCCTGATAGGCTGGTGATCATGGCGGCCGTGTCAGAGAATCCACCCATAAGCTTGTGCTACAAGCACCATTCGAAGACCTGTTCTTGCTTCGGACCTCAACTCTTCATGTAAGTAAGCTGGCTAGCTTAACTGTCCATAGACTGGAACTATTTTAAGCTAACATTCCATTGGCGGGTGTTAGATAGCTTGATGCGCTTTGACTTAAGGCGCATTCACAGCGCAGTACTTTTCCCACAAAGGTTAATCAGAACTTAGTTGATGAGAACTCTTTAGTTCTCATCAACTACTGTAAGTACAGATCGCGTTCACACCGGAATAAGTCCCTGGGGAAGGATTAGGCAAATAAAGCCGCTGACGTCACTTCTTCTTCTGCTTTGGGTTTACTGGCAGGCCGCAAACAACTTCACGGCGTATACTGCCACCCGAAGTCCCCGGCCGGAAGTCCCCCGAGTAAATCGCCAGAACGCCGACACCTCCTCATCTCCACTGCTCCCATGTTTTCTTTTGTGTTGCCATAAGTTAGTCTCTCTGCATTTCTGCGCTGGGCTAATGCTAATGCTAATAATGCTAATGCGAGGATAATAAAATGGAGTTTTACGGGGCGTGGTTTGCATTCCGCCCAGCCAATCAGACATAGGAACCTTTTTCTCGCACGAAAGTACCTGCTCTCTAGCAGGGATGGAAAAGGGGGTAAAAAAGGTT